GGGTTCATTGCTCTCGCTCGCCCACGCAGCTTCGCCTCGCCCGCACGCACTACACGAACGAAACGAAACGATTTCCCGGTTGGGGGTCTCCGGTCCACTGCGATCTCAGCCCCCAACCTCTGACTATTGCATTCTAGTTTGTAGCCCTATATATCTATATGCCTATAGCCCTAGAGCCCCATAACCCTACCTATACGACCACCCTTCGGGTGATAAGGAGGTTGGGGGGGGTAGAGGGGGGGAACTATCATCTGATTCAATCGATCCCACTATCGATCTCACTCAACGGGACACCACGGGACCCTTGTCGATCTCACTATCGATCTCACTCAACGGGACACCACGGGACACCGCGGAACACCTCTCGATCTCATTATCGGTCTCACTATCGATCTCACTATCGATCTCACTCAAAGGGACACCATCGGACACCACGGGCCACCACGGGATACCACATCGATCTCACTATCGATCTCACTCAACGGGGCACCACGGGACACCACGGGACACCTGTCGATCTCACTATCGATCGCACTATCGATTTCACTTTTGGGGACACCACGGAACACCTCGGGGTACCACATCGATCTAAGTTTCGATCTCAGTATCGATCTCTGTCAACGGGACACCACGGGATACCACAGGACACCTGTCGATCTCACTATCGATCTCACCTTCTGGGACACCACGGGACACCACGGGACACCTCGGGGCACCACATCGATCTCAGTGTCGATCTCACTATCGATATCATTATCGATCTCACTATCGATCTCACTATCGCGGGACACCGCGGGACGCCGCGAGCCACCGCCGGACGGGCGGGCGGGGGAGAATCATCGCCCTAGCAACGGCGGACACCACGGGACACCACGGGATACCGCGGGCCACCGCCGGTCGGGCGGGAGGGGGAGAATAGTTTGTTTTGACTTCGCCCTAGCAACGGCGGGTTCATTCCTCTCGCGCGCCCACGCAGCATCGCCTCGCACGGACGCACGACACGAACGAAACGAAACAATTTCCCGGTTGGGGGTCTCCGTTCCACTGCGATCTCACCCCTCAACCTCCGATATCCTTATGGCTATATAGCCCTATGGTCCCGTAGCCCTAGAGCCCCATAGCCCTACAGACTCATAGCCCTATGGCCATGTAACCCCATAGCCACAGAGCCCCATAGCCCTATAGCCGGACAGCCCTATAGTCCTATGGCCCTACAGTCCTATGGCCCTGTAGCCCTGTAGACCTGTAGCCCTGTGGCTCTCTGGCCCTATACTTCCATATAGCCCCAATGCCGCATGGCCCAACAGCCCCATAGCCCCGCACATCCCTAAAAAGATGTTGATGGGGGCTTTTCTCTGGTATCCTGTTTGTTTTTTTTGAGGGGGAGGTCGTCGGAGAACCCAGGGTGCGAGCGGGCGGACCCGCGGCCTCGGGCGCCTCGTGCAGTGGGAGAGCTGCGGAGGGGGGTCGAGGGCCGCGGCAGCAGGGGCCCTCGAGAGGCACCCTCCAGAAAGATGAGTTCTCGCGTCCCAGACCTCCTCGAGTCGTGAAAAAATTACGACGGGAGGTTTTTCGCTGTTTTCGGCCTCTGAGGGACCTTACCGGGCCTCGGGACCGTCAAAAAACGACTCGGGATGAAAAACCGGTCCCGGGGAATGGGTCTGGACCTCTGGGGGTCGCGTCATGAAAAAATCATGACGTCGGGGGTCTGGGGTTGGGAGCATTGGGCTGGGAGACATGATCAGCTCATCTGTACTAGTCATTGTGTCGAACGGGCTCATTTCACCGTCGTGCCCTGCATCTTCCCCATCCCTTCCTTATTACCAACACGGCACAGGCAGCCCGCATAGTTAGCATGAGCAAGTTTCCAAGGTTACCCTTGCACCCTTGGCCGCTTTCGCTGGCCGCGCCCCGCTCGCACAGCGTCGACATGGCCTCTCGAGGCCCTTGCCTCCTTACCGTGCGCCCTGCGTATACGGGCTGACTTCGCTTGTCTTCCTCAACCCTTGGGGCCCCAGAGATGCGCGGGCAACGGAGGTATGGACCCCAGACCCCCGACGTCGTGATTTTTTCACAACGTCGACCCCCAGAGGTCTGGACCCCTCCCCCCCTTCCCCGGGACCGGCTTTTCGTACCGAGTCCCAGAGATCCAACGCATGGAACAAATCAAGACGCTGGCTTCTCGTAAATTTCGGCCCCTAGGGGTCCTTACCGGGCCTCGGGACCGTCAAAACACGACTCAGGATGAAACACCGGTCCTGGGGAATGGATCGAGGCCTCCGGGGACCGCGCATTGACAAAACCACGACGTCGGATCTCTTGGACCCCTTCCCCGGGACCGGCCGTTCATCCGCCGTTCGTCCTGCGTCGTTTCTTGGCGGTCCTGAGGCCCGGTCAGGGACCCCGTAGGAGGACGAGGAGGAGGAGGAGGAGGAGGAGGAGGAGGAGGAGGAGGAGGGGGAGCAGGAGGAGGAGGAGGAGGCCGAACATGGCGAGAAAAGCCTCCGGTCGTGATGTTTTCACAGCGCGAGGAGGTCTGGGACCACCTCCCCCGGGGCCAGCTCCGACGGCCCGCGCCGTGCTCCGCGACGGTCGGGGGGGGGGACAATGGGGATGAGAAGGCCTTCTCGGAAGCCCTCGGGCCTTCTGGGAGGTTGTCCCCAGACGTGATCGCGTCGTAAAAAGATCAGGGCGGCGGGTTTTCGGCCGTTATCGGCCTCGTGGGGCCCTCGCCGGGCCTCGGGACCGTCAAAAAAAACTACTCGGGATGAAAAACCAGTCCCAGGGAAAGGCTCGGGACTTCTGGGGACGCCGTCCGGAAAAAATCAGGACGTCGCATGCCTGGGTCTGTGTCTGTCTCCCTAATTAAAGCTGTGCGTAGACAGCCTAGCTTGTAGCGGAAGAGGTTCGCTCTCGCCCCGCAGAACAAAAATGTCTGGGTCTGTGTCTCCGGGGAAGGCTCCGGACACTCTTCGGGAGGCCTGCTGGGGACCTCCGAGCCTTCCTGAGGAGGTGCCCGCCCCTCTTCTCGCTTTCCCCCCCCCCCCCCCAGACCCCCGACGTCATGAATTTTTCGTGACGCGACCCCCAGAAGTCTGGACCCCTTTCCCCGGGACCGGTTCTTCGTCCTGAGTTGTTTTTTGACGGTCCCGAGGCCCGGCAAGGGCCCCCGGAGGCCGAAAAAAGCGAAAACCTTCCCGTCGTGATTTTTTCACAACGCGAGGGGGTCTGGGGACCTCCGAGCCTTCCGAGGAGACGCTGCCCCCCCCGGGGCTCGCCGCCGACTCCTCGCGGGGCGCGGGCCGGGCGCTTCCTCCCGCGCCGTGTCGTCGAGGGCCCCGGGTGCTCGGCGAGGGCCACCGGTCGGCCACGCGCAGGCCCAGGGCCCCCTCGAGGCAGGGGACCCAGACCTCCTCGCGTTATGAAAAAATCACGACGGGAGGTTTTTCATTATTTTTGGCCTTTGGAGGCCCTTACCGGGCCTCGAGGCCGTCAAAAAACGACTTAGGACGAAGAACCGGTCCCGGGGAAAGGGTCCAGACTTCTGGGGGTCGCGTCATGAAAAATTCATGACGTCGGGGGTCTGGGGAGGTAGGCACGATAGGGGAGGTTTCTTCTCGCCGTTGTCGATAGGGGAGGCAAGCACGACAGGGGAGGCAAGCACGACAGGGGAGGTAAGCACGATAGGGGAGGTAAGCACGATAGGGGAGGTAAGCACGATAGGGGAGGTAAGCACGATAGGGGAGGTAAGCACGGTAGGGGAGATTTCTCGCTATTGTCGATATGGGAAGTAACGGTATTGGAAGTAAGCACGATATGGGGGCCCCCGCTGGGCAGCGGGGCCGTCAAGAAGCGACTCGGGAGGAGAGACCGGCCCAGGGGAAGGAGTCGAGGTTTCTGGGGGTCGGCGCGGGGGAAGCATCGCGACGTCGGGGGTCCGGGAAGGGGCGCGCGGTCAAAAGTGATAGCGAGGATGCGCGAGAAGGGTGCCAACCCTGTGGACGCCCATGGCGAGGCTTCTCGAGCGGGGCTGGCAGTCGAAAGAGGTCAGAGATGGACCGAGGAGGCAAGGATGCAAGGGTGCCCTTGGGAAGGTTGCCCATCCTTATTATCGATTTCGACTGTAGGGGGAGGGGGGGGCGCTTTTTCGAATCTCTAGATGTGGGGCCGGCGCCTTCTAAGAAGCAGGCTCCTTCCAAGAAGCCTCCCCCCCTCCCCCATACCCTTTTGTGCGCGCAATGGCGAAAAGCTGCCCGTCCTGAGTTTATCATGGCCCGAGGGGGCCTGGCCCCCAGAGAGAAAGGTTGTGCCAGGGTCGAGGGGCCTCTCTCCCTCCCCCCTCTGACTCGTGCGCAAGAGGAGGGCGTTGGGAAGGGAGATGCTCTGGCATCTGGCATCTGGCATTGCCGGCACAGGCTCCCAGGCCTGACCGGGCGCATCCGCGGGGAGGAGGACAGGGGAACGAACTATGACATAAACACAACAACCTCGGAGGTCCGCGCGGATTTCTCAGATCGGCGCTGGACCCCCCTCCCAGGCGCCCGGAGCGCGCCAGGAACGGCGCCAGAGGCGCCGCCAGGGAGGTCCAGCGCCGATCCGAGAAATCCGCGCCGACCTTCGAGTTGTTAGTTATGTTCATGTCAGAGGAGGAGGAGGAGGAGGAGGAGGAGGAGGAGGAGGCGGAGAAGAAGGAGGAGCAGGAGGAGGAGGAGGAGGAGGACGAACGAGGAGGCGGAGGAGGAGCTTGGAGGAGGAGCGTTGAGGAGGAGCGAGGAATCGAGGAGCGAGGAGGAGGAGGAGGACGACGACGACGAGTACGAGGACAAGGACGAGAGCGAGGTGAGGATGAGCGAGGAGGAGCGTGGAGGAGGAGCGAGGAGCGAGGATGAGGAGGAGCGAGGATGAGGAGCGAGGAGGAGGAGAAGGAGGAGGAGCAGGAGGAGGATGACGCGGCGAGCGCTGCCCCGAGGTACGCCTGCGACAGGGGCCTCTCGAACTGGATGGACGAGTGGGACGAGGCGTCGCGGGCCTCCGCCCCCAGCGCCGCCGCCGCCTGACGGCCGCCAGAGGCCTTCAGAGCGGAGGGGGCCAGGAGGACAAATAGATCGACACGGATCCCAGACAGGATCGCGCCGTGCGAAGATCTGGACGGGAGGTTTCTCGCTACCTTCGGTTTCCTGGGGGCCCTCGCCGGGTTTCGGGGCCGTCAGCGCACGGTCCGGGGCGGAAGACCGCTTGCGACCCAACACGGCCACGAGGACGAGGCCCCTCACGCTGCAGGCAAAGTTCAGGAGGGGAAAAAACACACACTGACACAATTAATCGTCGATTTCGTTTTATTTGTGTGCATTTACTTGTGTGTGTCCCTGGGCCCCTTCAAGAGTGTGCCTCAAGAGAAGCAGAGACAGAACGGCGCTGCACAGGAGGAGGCCGCAGCTCGGCACGGCGGCCGCGCGGTGGCGAGCGAGCGGGGCGCAAGCACGGCACGGCCCAGAGGGCGCCCCGCGCCACGCGCCCGCGCGGGCCGCGCCGGCGGCAGGCGCCAGGCGCCCCGCGGGGGTCCCGCCTGCCAGCCGCAGTGGCGCTCGAGCGCGTCCGGCTCGGCTGCAGGGCGCCGACGCAGAGGAGCGCCATGGCGGTGGCGAGGCGTCCCAGCTCGCCTCTGGGCAGGGGGCCGCATGCGAACCCTACCCCCTACTACCCCCCACGATCTCTGAGAGGGGAGGGTGGGGTTCACTTCGTTCGGGAGCTCCCGAGCGAAGTGAACCCCACCCTCCCCCTCAGAGATCGTGGGGGGTAGGGGTAGGGTTCGCAGGTGGACCCCTATATGGGGGCCGGCCAGAGGATGTGCCGAGAGCTCGTGGCGGCTCCCACGAGATGCGCTCAGAGCATGTCTGGCCGGGAGTGTCCCGTGTCAACACGTCTGGCTCCTGTTCTGAGCGCATTGTTTTTGATTATTCGGAACATGTTGGGGTTCTAAGAACACTTCGTGGTAGGCCTAGAGGAGTGCCGGGACGGTCGGTCCCTGCTCAAGAAGCCCCGCCACACGGCCACTAGGGCCACGGGGAATCACGATAAGGACCACGGGTTTAACCCTCCTCTCCCATAGTTGTACATGCCTGACCAGCCAAAGCCCATGGGCAGGTGCACAAGGCCCGCATGATGAGCACGAAATAATGCCACTGCCGGCAGAGTCTCCCACCACCGGGAGAGGTCGCACTCGAGGGTCGTCCCTCCCCCCACGGCCGCTGTAAGTGACGTGAGGCGAGGAGTTTAGAATACGAGGAGAAGCCCACTCCTCGGCGGCCACCAGCACTGCTTCAAGCAAGAAAAAACAAATAGCCAGGCTCCCACCTCGGTGAGACTCTTCAATGGAACTCGAAGTTCTGGGGAGTTATTCGAAGCAAGGGTGAGCAAGCCATAAGCCTCCTGTACAACTTGCTTTGCTTCTCTTGTCACCATAAGAGGTTCCCCCTGACAAGGACGCATCGAAAACATCAGGATTTCGCATGTTTGAGATTCGAGGATTTCCAGAACTGTTCCGTACTTTCTGGATTTGCGTGTTCTTTTCCGGCGATTCGATTTCGACGGTTTCCGATTCCGAGTCTCAGGGTCCGATTCGGATGCCGATCTCTTTCTGGAACTTACGAGCCTGCCGATTTCCGCCGACTCGATTCCTCCCGACTGGGCTGCCGATTTCTCGAGTAGGATATGGATTACAGAATTGATGTACCCCAGATTTGTTGTTCGTCGGCCCTACCACAAACATGCAACTGTTCATGTATCTACGAAGGTTCGACGCATGCTTCACAGACTCGACGGAAATCTCAACCCCTGGGCGAAGCGATGCTGGCGTCGATCTCCTGCTCTACTTTCCGCCGTCCCGATTCTTTCCCATCGCCGACCCGACCCCCCGATTCGAGGCTTGGCTCTCTTCGAGGGCCGCCTCGGGGCCTCCGACGTCGACCCCGATGCCTCTCTGGAGGCCCCTTGGGCCTGCCGATATATCCGCCGCCTCGACTCCTCCCGACTTGGCTGCGGACTGGACCCAGACCTCCTCGCGTCGTGAAAAAATCACGACGGGAGGTTTTTCGCTATTTTCGGCCTCCGGGGGCCCTCGCCGGGCCTCGGGACCGTCAAAAAACGACTCAGGACGAAAAACCGGTCCCGGGGAAGGGGTCGGGACCTCTGGGGGTCGCGTCATGAAAAAATCATGACGTCTGGGGTCTGGGCTGCAAGATTCAGGGCGTCGCATGTCTGGGAATGCGCTATAAGGTGCGTATGGCCGTGCTCTCGCCTCGACGCCGGCCGGCTCCGTGTGTGGTCCGGACGGCCGCGATCCTTCGTTCAAAAACAGGAAGGTAGACATTCGGGAGGGAAAAAACACATACAAACACAATTAATCGTCCCGGGGAATGGGTCGGGACCTCTGGGGGTCGCGCCATGAAAAAATCACGACGTCGGGGGTCTGGGGACTGGCCCTGCTGCCTCCGGCCCGCGGTCCTTGGCTGGGAGCCCCAGATCTCTGGGGGAACAAAGAGTGGCAAAAAAACACGACAACTCGGAGGTCCGCGCGAGTTTCTCGGATCGGCGCTGGGGCCCCCCGGCGGCGCCTCCGGCGCCGCCCCTGGCGCGCTCCGCGCGCGCCAGGGAGGGGGGGGTCCCCAGCGCCGAGCCGAGAAATCCGCGCGGACCTCCGAGTTGTCGTGTTTTTTTGCCACTTTTTGCCCCCCCGAGATCTCCAACGGTAGCGATGGCGATGACGATGCCAGTTTCCGCCGACCCGATTCCACTGCGATCGCCGATCCAGCTCATCGATCCGGTGCCGGGCCCTCCGGCGGCCGAGGGCCGCCAACCTCCTGCGAGATGTCCGGGCGCCGTGCTCTGTTCTACGCGTTTGGCGTCTCCACCCCGGGGGGGGGTCCTCACAGTACAGCGTTCCACCCCGCCCAGTGCAGCGCTTCGTGGAGTCGGAGTCGGAGTCGAGCTCTGGGGGCACTAGGTTCGTCTGACCGTGTGAGTTGCCTGGGCAACTCCTGGTGTAAATCCACCAGTTTATAACATCGGATCAAAAACCTGTCTTCGCCCTGAGGGCCTGTCAAGGAACTTCTGGGTGGCCGCTTGTGCAGACATGATGGCCACCAGCAGCCATTGGTGTGACATCAGACCTGACAGGTCATGTTATGAAGAAACATGGTGTAGGTCTATGGCCGCCTCAATCTTGCTTCAGCCGTGGCGGCGGCTGCGCTTCGTGGCCCCACAGGGAGCTTCACCGAAGCAGATCTTCACAATTACGGTACCCACAACTGCATATGGTTGGGACCTTCGCCAGGATGACTTTGCGCCTGGCGTCTCCACCCCGGGGGGGGGGTCCTCTGCGGCCCGCTGGGTGTGAAATGTATGGCTTTGGGCCCCGGAGGGTTTCTACCCCCGGGATGCGTTCCGGCAGCTGCGCCTCGATGAGAGTGCGAGCTGGAGGTGGTCGGATCGTCTCGGGCGGCCGCCATAGGCCCGAGCTATCCCCCGAGAACTCCACTCCCTCTCGCTGCGGACAAGTCACGCCGGCAGGTCTGGAACTGTGCGCGGCGCCCCTGTGGGCCCTCGCCGGGTCCCGGGGCCGTGGACGATTCGGGAGGAGAAGTTGGTCCAGGGGAATGGGTCGATGCCTCTGGGGGTCGACTCCGACGAAGGCATCCATACAACCATCACCGTGCCAGGCCAGGGCCATCCTCCTGGGCCCCAGGATGGTGTGTAGACCCTCCTGGCCTCAGCCAGGAGGGCGCTCACACCATGCCAGGGCCAGGATGGCCCTGGCTCGGCACGGTGGTGGTGTATAGGTGCCTCCTGCGTATCGGCAGCATGGAAAGATCATGGCGTCGGAGGTCTGCGCCTGTGTGCTCCCCCGAGGTCCGGGCGTTTTGCATTCTTGCCCACGCCGGGGTCGATGCCACCCGCCAGTCGGGTGCCGGGGGCCAGCGCAGGTCGATGCGGCGCTCTCAAGTGCTGCAACAGGCAGGCGGGGTCCAGGGCTTTGCTCGTGACTTGTTGCTTTCGGGTATGGCCAGGACCCCGGGTAAGGGGACCCGGCCAGTGGTAGGGCCCCGGAGCCTTCGAGTTGGCCAGGATCACGAAACCAGGTTTGCCACAGCTGGTGCTTTTTCGGGTGACGGCAGTTCCGGTTAGTGGAAACGGGATGGGGGGGCGCCCCCAGTACAGATCATTAAACCAGGTTCCACCAAACCCAGTTCTACCAACGCTCGATGTTTGCCGTATTGCAACTTCTTCGCAACGTCAGCTCTCGGGATCAGGCGGTGTCGGCGATGCGGGGGGAGACCTCCCCCGACTTCGGATCTGCCGTGAATTGGGCGATGTCGCAAGAAGGGCGGGAACTTGCGCCGTGCTTTTCAAGCTCCCGGAATGTCGATCTCCGCCCTGCTTTGCCGTCGCCGTTTCCGCCGCACCTTTGCGCACACACACACACACAGACAGACCGCCCCATTTTACGAGGCGGAAGTTTCCGCCCTATTCTTCCGCATCGCTCGGGGTGCATCTTCGACACAGTTTGAAGAGCCATCGGCGGAGTACGTTCGGGCATAGCCAGGACCCCAGATAGGGGGGCACGGTTCGTGGCTGGGCCCTGGAGCCCCTAAGTTTGCCGGAATCACCAGACCAGGTCTGCCGTAGCCGGTGTCGGTTTCGGGTGACGGCAGTTCTGGTCAGTGGCACGGGGCGGGGGGGCGACTCCGAGTACAGATCACGAAGCCAGGCCCCACTAAATCTCGCGGCTCGTTGTCCTCGCGGCTCGTTGTCCTCCTCGAGGCCTCGAGCGACACGTGGCCTCCTCGCGGCTCGTCGTCCTCGCGGCCTCGAGCGTGGCGGCCTCGAGCGCGGCGGCCCCACGCCTGCCGGAGCCCCCGCGCCGCAGAGGCACCCGCTCCGCCGCCGGCCGCCGCCGTCGGACTGCCGTTGCCGTCGCCGCCGCGGGGCCCTCGTCGCCAGCAGCGCCGTCACCAGCCTCATGCCTTCCACCCCCTCTCCCTGCTCCTCCCTCCCTCCCTCCCTCCCTCCCGCCCTTCTCCTATTCCAACCTCCCCCCTCCTCCTCCTCCTCCTCCTCTCCTCCTCTCCTCCTCCTCCTCCTCCTCCTCCTCCCCCTCCTCCTCCTCCTCCTCCTCCCTCCTCCTCCTCCTCTCCTCCTCCCTCCTCCTCCTCCTCCTCCTCCGCCTCCTCCTCCTCCGCCTTCTCCTCACTCCCTCCTCCTCCCCTCCTTCGTCCTCCTTCCCATCCCTCCTCCCCCTCCGCCTTCTCCTCCCCGTGGCTCTCGCCTTCTTACCGCACACATTCGATTTCAAAGCCTGCCACTTCTTCAAGAATACAGGGCGGGTCCTTTCCAAAATGTGGCTTTCGACATAGCGCCGCGCACATTCGTCTCAAAAGCGCACAACCGTTTCATGCATTGAGGGCGGGTCTTTTTCAAAATGTGGCGCTCGCTAAAGCGCCGCGCACCTTCGTCTTAATAGCTTACAGCAGCTTGAAGGATGGAAGGCAAGCGGTTTTCAATAAGCGCCGCGCACATTCGTTTCAAAAGCTTGCAACAACTTCAAGGATTGAGGACGGGTCTATGCTAAAGGCGCTTGTCGCGTTAGCGCAGCGCACCGTCGCCTGAAAGGCTTCGCAATCGTTTCAAGGATGGAGGGCGGGTGGTTTTCAAATGGTGGTTCTTGCTTCAGCGCCGCGCACAACTTTCGGCTCAAAAGTTCGCAACAGCTTCAAGGATGGAGGACGGCTCATGTTCAACATTTGGATCTCGCTTTTGCGTCGCGCAAACTTTCACGCCACATGTTTTCAACAGGTTTATGGTTTCGTAGGGATGAAGTCCCCCAGAACGATGTTCTGGCACGGTTTAGGACTGTCCGGATGCAACAGTCACCTTGGTTCGCGTTGTTGATATCCCAGGAACGGGGTCTCGGCGCGATTTAGGATTGTCAGGACGCAACAGTCACGTCGATTCACGGCGTTGAAGTCCCAGGCATGATGTTTTGGCACGATTAAGCATTCTCAGGCGGTTACCGTTCAATGGGGAAACAATGCAAACATATTATTGTAGGGACCTGTGCAAAGGAAACTTGGAGGTAGGGTTGTTTGCAACGTCGTTGATGCGTCTTGGGTTTGCACTGGTCCTCCTCCTCTTTCTCCTCCTCCTCTTCCTCCTCCTCCTACTCCTCCTCCTCCTCCTCCTCCTCCTCCTCCTCCTCCTCCTCCTCCTCCTCCTTCTCCTCCTCCTCCTCCTCCTCATCCTCATCCTCATCCCCTCCCTCCCTCCCTCCCTCCCTCTCCTCCCTCCCTCTCCTCCCTCTCCTCCCTCCCTCCCTCCCCCCCCTTTGCCTCGTCGCCTCCTCCCCCTTTTGCCAGGCGAAGATGTCCTGGTGCTGCAGGCCCCTTTGCCGCGACCCCCCTCGCGGGTGGTGACGCAGACGCTGCCGTGGTTGATGATCGAAGCCCGACCACTGCAGAATGGAGGAGGAGGAGGAGGAGGAGGAAGAGGAGGAGGAGGAGGAGGAGGAGGGAGGAGGAGGAGGAGGAGGAGGAGGAAGAGCAAGGAGCGAGGAGCGAGGAGTGAGGAGGAGGAGGAGGCGGAGGCAGAGGCGGGGAAGAGGCGGAGGAGGAGGAGGAGAAGGAGGAGGAGGAGGAGCAAGGAGCGAGGAGCGAGGAGTGAGGAGGAGGAGCGATGAGGAGGGGAGAAGGATGGAGGAACGAGGAGAGTAGGAGGAAGCAAGAGGAAGGAGGGGAGGAGGGGAGGAGGGAGGGAGGAGGGCGTTCGACGGTCGCGGCCGTGCACCGGGGCGGGCTGGGCGCGGCGCTTCGAAGGCGGCAGGAGGCGCGGCTGGGGCCGCCGGACGGGGCAAATGCGGCGCAGCCCAGGGCTACGGCTGCTTGTTTCACCCTCCCCCCTCCCCCCCTCCTCCTCCCTTGGTCGAACAGAAAACACCGGTTTGATGGTATATACACTGCTGGAACGAGATCTTCCCTGGCCAAACTTGTTTATTACCAGGTTACTTGTTCTAAGACGTGAGGAAGTCTTACTCGTCGCATAGAGGCATCGTTCAGGCCTCTTAGAGGATTATGAGAATCCTTGTAAGAGGCTTCTAAGAAACCTTTAAGAGGCTTCTTGGAGGCCTCTTTGAATCCTCTACGAGGCTTCTCAGAGGTATCGAAGAAGCTTCTACGAGGTTCTCGCTTCTCACAGGCTTCTAAGAGGCTTCTTAGAGGTTTCTTCGAGGCCTCTAGAGGCTCCCTTGATAAGGCTTGTAGAGGCCTTCGAAGCCTCTAAGAGGCATTTAACCGGCCTTGTGGAACCTCTTAGAATATTCGAAGAGGCCTGTAGAGGGCTTCCAAGAAGCATCTACGAGGCCTCTACGAGGCCTTTCAGATGCATGTAAGATGTTGCTAGTTCTACCACACAAACGCAACATAAGCATGTACATATGTACTGATGTTGTTACTACTGCTACTACTACTACTACTACTACTACTACAACAACTACTACTACTACTACTACTGCTACTACTACTACTACTACTACTACTACTACTACTACGACTACTATACCACTACTACTATTACTTACTACTACTACTACTACTACTACTACTACTACTACTACTACTACTACTACTGCTACTACTACTACTACTAGTACGACTACTACTATTATGTAATAGTACTACGACTACGTACTATACGACGACATACTACTACTACTAACACTACTACTAGCACCATGAATACTACACAAACTGACGATCGGCGACTACTATTAATATTAACTATTACTACTATTACTATTACTATCTATTATTACTATTACTAGTACTACTATTACGACTACTTACTACTTACGAACTACTACTCTACCGATATTACTATAATACTACTACTACTACTATACTTACTACTACACTACTACTACTACTACTCTTCCGACTACGACTACACTACTACTACTACTACTATACTACTACGACTACGACTACGACGTACGACTACGATTACTATTAGTATTATACTACGGTTACTTACTACTACTACTACTACTATACTCACTTACTCATCTACTACTACTACTACTACTACTACTACTACTACTACTACTACTACTACTACTCCTACTACTACTACTACTACTACTACTACTACTACTACTTTAATAATAATAAAATTAGCCTGGCGAAGGACCCAACCATTAGCAATTGTGCGTAACGCGTTGTGGGTCCCGCTTTCGGTGGGGCTCCCTATGGGGCCACGAAGCGCTGCCTTGGATGGGGGAACCGCATGCGGACTGCGCCACCGGGGCGGGCCTTCGGTGGAGCTCCCTATGGGGCTACGAAACGCTGCCCTGGGTGGGGGAACCGCATGCGAACACCCCCACTGGGGCCTTCGGTGGAGCTCCCTATGGGGCTACGAAACGCTGCCCTGGGTGGGGGAAGCGCATGCGGACACCCCCACTGGGGCCTTCGGTGGAGCTCCCTATGGGGCTACGAAACGCTGCCCTGGGTGGGGGAACCGCATGCGAGAAAGCATGACACTGGGGCCGCCGGTGGAGACTCATAATGGGGCCACGAAACAGTGCCCGGGTGGAGGGAACGCATGCGAGAGCAGCACTGGGGCCTTCGGGGAGCTCCCTATGGGGCCACTGACGCGCTGCCTGGGTGGGGGAACCGCATGCGAACACCCCCAATGGGGCCTTCGGTGGAGCTACTATGGGGCCACGAAGCGCTGCCAGGGTCGGGGGAACCGCATGCGAAACACCCCCCACTGGGCCTTCGGTGGAGCTCCTATGGGGCTTACGAACGCGCCCTGGGTGGGGGAACCGCATGCGAACAACCCCCACTGGGGCCTTCGGTGGAGCTCCCTATGGGGCTACGAAGCGCTGCCCTGGGTGGGGGAACCGCATGCGAACACCCCACTGGGGCCTTCGGTGGAGCTCCCTATGGGGCTACGAAACGCTGCCCTGGGTGGGGGAACCGCATGCGAACACCACCACTGGGGCCTTCGGTGGAGCTCCCTATGGGGCCACGAAACGCTGCCCTGGGTTGGGGAACCGCATGCGAACACCCCCACTGGGGCCTTCGGTTGAGCTCCCTATGGGGCCACGAAACGCTGCCCTGGGTGGGGGAACCGCATGCGAACACCCCAACTGGGGCCTTCGGTGGAGCTCCCTATGGGGCTACGAAGCGCTGCCCTGGGTGGGGGAACCGCATGCGAACACCCCCACTGGGGCCTTCGGTGGAGCTCCCTATGGGGCCACGAAACGCTGCCCTGGGTGGGGGGACCGCATGCGAACACCCCCACTGGGGCCTTCGGTGGAGCTCCCTATGGGGCTACGAAACGCTGCCCTGTGCGGGGGAACCGCGTGCGAACACCCCCACTGGGGCCTTCGGTGGAGCTCCCTATGGGGCCACGAAACGCTGCCCTGGGTGGGGGAACCGCATGCGAACACCCCCACTGGGGCCTTCGGTGAGCTCCCTATGGGGCTACGAAACGCTGCCCTGGGTGGGGGAACCGCATGCGAACACCCCCACTGGGGCCTTCGGTGGAGCTCCCTATGGGGCCACGAAACGCTGCCCTGGGTGGGGAAACCGCATGCGAACACCCCCACTGGGGCCTTCGGTGGAGCTCCCTATGGGGCTACGAAACGCTGCCCTGGGTGGGGGAACCGCATGCGAACACCCCCGCTGGGGCCTCCGGTGGGGCTCCCTATGGGGCCACGAAACGCTGCCCTGGGTGGGGGAACCGCATGCGAACACCCCCACTGGGGCCTTCGGTGGAGCTCCCTATGGGGCTATGAAACGCTGCCCTGGGTGGGGGAACCGCATGCGAACACCCCCACTGGGGCCTTCGGTGGAGCTCCCTATGGGGCTACGAAACGATGCCCTGGGTGGGGGAACCGCATGCGAACACACCCACTGGGGCCTTCGGTGGAGCTCCCTATGGGGCCACGAAACGCTGCCCTGGGTGGGGGAACCGCATGCGAACACCCCCACTGGGCCTTCGGTGGAGCTCCCTATGGGGCTACGAAACGCTGCCCTGGGTGGGGGAACCGCATGCGAACACCCCCACTGGGGCCTTCGGTGGAGCTCCCTATGGGGCCACGAAACGCTGCCCTGGGTGGGGGAACCGCATGCGAACACCCCCACTAGGGCCTTCGGTGGAGCTCCCTATGGGGCTACGAAACGCTGCCCTGGGTGGGGGAACCGCATGCGAACACCCCCACTGGGGCCTTCGGTGGAGCTCCCTATGGGGCCACGAAACGCTGCCCTGGGTGGGGGAACCGCATGCGAACACCCCCACTGGGGCCTTCGGTGGAGCTCCCGATGGAGCCACGAAGCGCTGTAATGGGTGGGTGAAACGCAGAGAGGAGGGAGGAGAGGGAGGAGGAGGGAGGAGGAGGGGGAGGAGGAGGAGAGGAGGAGAGGAGGAGAGGAGAGGACGCGGGCACCGTCTCTTCAAAACGAGGACCCAACACCACAGGATGGTTGGGAAATAATATTATCCTGGCGAAAGACCCAACCATAAGCAATTGTTGGTAACGCGTTGTGGGTGCCGCTTTCGGTGGGGCTCCATATGGGGCCACGAAACGCTGCCTTGGATGGGGAAACCGCATGCGGACTGCGCCACCGGGGCGGGCCTTCGGTGGAGCTCCCTATGGGGCTACGAAACGCTGCCCTGGGTGGGGGAACCGCATGCGAACTGCGCCACTGGGGCCTTCGGTGGAGCTCCCTATGGTGCCACGAAGCGCTGCCCTTGGTGGGGGAAACGCATGCGAACTGCGCCACGGGGGCTTTCGGTGGAGCTCCCCATGGGGCCACGAAGCGCTGCCATGGGTGGGGGAACCGCATGCGAGAGCAGCCACTGGGGCCTCCGGTGGAGCTCCCTATGGGGCCACGAAACGCTGCCCTGGGTGGGGGAACCG